AAGAAATTGAAAAAAATAGGAGTGAAGCTGTGGCCCAATAATCAAGCGGCCTGGTAGTTTAGCAAGGTACAAAAATAGCGGCTTCCGAATTCGGATAAAGATGATACTTTTTTGAAGCGCCAATCTCCTTCAATAAATTTGAAGTGCCCAGTATGAGTGACAATAGTCCTGTTTTTTCCTAAGTGCGTCGCTGTCTGAGAAAGTGTTCCAAGGCATGGAAACACGGGTTAACCGCTTTTGCTAAAACTCACTATATATGTTGTCCTTGGTAAGATGTTCCAAGATCCAAACTAGTTTCGCTTTCTGCCATTTGATACCAGTGTTTGGAATATCTCTTGGAATATCTCACCAAGGATACCAAGTTGACCTATGTTCCCAACTTCTAAATATTTCTTAGACAATAACATCTGAAAATTCGAAAAAATGAAGAACGTAACAAATATTGCTTGTCCTTTAGATAAAGAAGAGTTGCCACAACATGTTTGCCGGTACTTTTTCGCAATAAGAATACAGTACATACCTTTAATTTTAGGAGAAGTAGGAGGCGAATAGTGAGGACCTTTGGAAATAAAAAAAACGCTCAAATGTTAAAGCCTATGTGAAGTTAAGTTCATATTACACCGTTATTTTCAAAATGAAAGTAAGCCAGGCATTATGAAAACCCGCAAGGAAGAAATAATTACCAAAAAATGGAAAAGTTGAAATATATACGTAAATGGAAGCTACTTAACAATGAAGGTAGTTTTGTCACGTCCATCACGAATTACCACGCTCGCCCATAATCCTAGGATATCCAGTTTCAAATCGACGCAGACTTAGCTTATTTTGTCTAATATACGAGCACTGGAATACTTGGTATTTTACCTTTTCTTCTAGTACAAAAAGTGTTTAAAACACTGGAGCTGGCAACTTAAACAGACACATTGTGTGAATGTGAGCTGAATCGAGATTTTCGAACGAGATTTTGGAGATGTTCGCCAGATTCCATTGTGAAACACCTCCATCCGCCCTTGCAACTTTGTGATTTGTCTACCAATAACCAATCGAACTGTGAAATGACGAATGAATCCATTTAAACAGCATCGAGACTGCTGGTATTACCTGGAGCACAAACTACATTTGCATCCTTAAAGTGAGAGCAGTCATGGGTTCCCCACTGGTTATGATCACACTCTGCTAGTGAACTCTCGTTTCCCACACAGTTTACATTGTCCAACCATATTTGCCCGGATCCTGTACCGTATACATAGGGAATCGGAGTTTGTACAGCTTCCACGAATCCAAGTTGACTGCAAACTACGTTGGCATCCTTTATGTCCCAGTCGTCATTACAAACTGTTCCCCAAGTGCCATTGTGAAACACCTCCACCCGCCCTTGCAACTTTGCGATTTGTCTACCAATAACCAATCGAACTGTGAAATGACGAATGAATGCAGTCAAATGTTAGAAAGAAGCCTTACTTAACAGACCTCTGCAGAATTTCTTACAGAGGGCAACTGCATACAAGCATGAAAAAACCATCGACCCTTGAACCTAACCTTAACTTTCCCGTCAGTAATTAAGAATTTATTAACTGGGCTTCAGTTTTAAAGCTAGCTTGAATCTATGTATCCTTATTAGGTAGTCTTCTCGAAGTTAAAGGAAATACTAGGAGAAGCCCACAGAATTCTATAGTACAAGGCATTTTGTAATTACCTGGAATACATATAACACCTGCATCTTTGCTATGGTCACATTTGTGTTTTCCCAATCCGAGATGATTACAATCTATTAGTCGCCGTTCATGTCCAACACAGTTTACCTCATCCATCCATATATTTCCAATTCCTTCACCAAAACCTGCAGACCTGACCGCCGCGGAAGCTCCAGCCTCGAATCCTAGTTGGCGACAAACCACGTTGGCTTCTTTAAGTGTCCAATGGGCATCACACACTGTTCCCCAGGAATCTCGATGAAACACTTCAACCCGGCCTTCATATAGGTTTGCTCCACCAGTTAATCGAACTGTCACGAAAGAAGGTAATTGACTATCATTGATCAGTTTGTGACTTCAGTTGCTATAGGGAAATGATGGTTAGAGAAGAAAGGTCAAGTCTATACTCGAGACAAGTGGACCAAACCTAGGAGTATAATCACTCCTTCTCAGATGGGATATCAATCCATCTCAACAATATTACGCCCAATATTTCATCAGGCTTCCCTGACAATTTACCAGTACCCATTTAAACTCTTGGGAGGAGAGAGGCATGGGGAGAGTAAAGTGTTTTGCCTAAGAATTAAACACATAGACCCTGGTATATAAGGGTTTTATGCGCTAGATTTAGGACGAACGACTGAAACAACTCAATGCTCTTTCAGTTATCAGAAAAGGAAAAGAAAGTTAACAATATTGCAATGTTAATTAAGAATTTGTTCATGCTTAGCGTGCGTATATCGAGTTATGGATGCAC